ACACTACTGTTTAATGACTGAGTCTTCCTGGGAGACTTTCAAATCATGAGCATGCCCTGGCCAGGCCACATCCTCAACCCCTCTGCTTGCCTTCAACACTGGCAACCTCGCCACCTTCCAAGAGCTTTAGATCAGCCTCTGTAGGCAGGAGCCCTCGGAGAAAACAGGAGAACACATCAGTTGAAGTGGGGGGTCTCCTGGGTTTCAGAAAAGAACCTCTTGGCTAAGTCATTTTAGTAAAGCACTCCACCCCCATCAACCCTCCCCATTCACCAAAACATCACCAAAAGTCAAGCTTAAAATTTAAAAGCCAAGACCAGCCTGGAAGTAATCTTGTTTCACTGTTCGAATACCTACGCTGGGATGCATGCACACGTTACAGCTAGATTGTCTCACTTCCCTGGGTTAGAAGGCTCTTAAGACACTCCCCTGGTTGTCCACACGAGGTCAGTATGTCATACTGCAGAAGCTACCATATCCGTTCTAAAATCCATGTCATTGAAGTAATCTCAGCCTGTGTCTCTCTTACAGCCCTCGTGTCGGCTCGTCTGCATTGACTCTACTTTAAACATTCAGTCGAACAAAGGAAATATAAAGCTGCCTCCTTTATCTTCAGCTTTTATAAAGAAAAAATGTACAGAATAACAGAACCCACTTTATCAACTGAGTGGGCCTATCTGAACGAGCCTGAAGGAGAGTGTGAGTTAGGTGATATTACAGACTAGTGCTTTCTCTCGCCTCTGCTGTTCACAAAATCACACCTTTAATGGAATAGTTTTAAGAGTTTCCAGACCAGAACAAATGTATACAAACCCCCCAGAAAAACCAACCCCCTGGATTTCCTCTTCCACTTCTGTGAGTACAACAACCACAGCCTAAAGGTTTCAGTGTCACTCACGGTGATGGCTGGTACTTAACAAGGCTCATGGGAAGATCACGCCTGTACTGCAGGTCACACCTGTATATTAGGTACGCAGGTGCCCATGGGGGCTATGATCTCAGGACCACGTAGGAGAAGATGGGGAGGGAATGGGGCTGGGGATTCACTGCCTGAGGTTTTTCCATCTGTGTGGGGAGGAAGGGCATGTTTTCTGAGATGCAGAGCACAAAGGAAAGCCCAAGCAGGATCCCCTCCAACAAGACAGGGGCTGGAGGGTTGGGAGCCTTTATGAAACATTCAGGGAAGGGTTTGCCTTTCCTTCTGCTACTTGGGATTATGGGTAGAAACGTCCACTCCATATAGGCCTTTGCTCTCAGCTTCCAACATTTTTCCCTTGATGAATCCAATCAGTGAAGTAGTTAGTTTGTTGTGCCAACCTGGCTAATAAACACATGTGGGGTTAATTGAAGGGCAGAGAGATAAATGGTTCGGTGAGCTTCGCCTTTCTAGTTCTCGGGTCTCTTGCTTTCTGATGGTTGGACCAGGGTGAAGATGCCGTGGCTAGTTCCCTGCTTCAGCTGGCAAGGCTCACTTCCTGCAAGACATCCCTGAGGAGAAGCCACATGGACCTATCCGATGCAGCCCTGGGTGCTGGAGCACAAGTGCGGAGACCCCTGCCAGCGCTGAGATGCTTACACTTTCACTGACTCGGCTTTCCTCCTGCAGTCGGCATCATTGCATCTGTTTTGTGAGATGGAGGAGGACTTTGTGGCTTGATATTGGACGTATGGGTTAATGGGTTAATTCTGGACTTGTGGGCTTGGGCAGCACTGGGTTTGGATGTTTTCTTGATGTGCACTTAACCTTTATATAAAACTCTCTCTTATACATGAGTTTCTGTGTATTTGTTTCTCTGAAGTACCCAGACTAATACAATCAGTAAAGGCAGATAATAAGTCATGGCTGACAACAACAACAAGTGTTTTTCAACTTAACAAGTCGGTTACGGGAATAAAGTATCACAGAGAAACGCCTGCTACATAGGAAAGAACCCTGGTGGCGCAATGGTAAAGTGCTTCCTTGACAACCAACAGGTTGACAGGGTGGACCAAGCAGCGGCTCTCTGGAATCTGCTCCTGTAACAGTTCCACACCAGAAACCCACTGCCATGGGATCCATTCTGACTCACGTGACCGACCCTACAGAGAATTGCTGAGGCTGTGGACCCTGGTGGGAGCAGGCAACCTCATCGTTTGCCCACCGAGTAGTGGGTGGGTTTCACCAACATCACAGATAGCAGCCCAATGCCAATACGATGGCAACCCAACACTGGACCTCCCTTAGGATCCATTTTAAATGGTTCTAGTTTTTAATATTTTATGCTTTCTTTCCAATTGAGATTTTTATCTGTTTTACTCTGTTATTCTTCTTAGTTTTTTGTTGCTTGTTTTTTAAGATGTTTCTTAAGGATAGATAAATCTACTGAGACAGTGACTGAATTAATGGCTCCTTGAGGGTATGGCGGGAGAGGCTGGGGGGGAATGGGGAATTAATAACGATGAGTACAAGAACGAAGAAAATGAAATTTTAAAAAATGAAGAAAATGTTCCAAAATGGATTGTGATGATGATTGTACAACTCTTCGTTGTGTGAGTGAACTACTGAATTGTATGATGAGTTAATGGCATGCCAATAAAACTGTTGGGGGTGGGGGAAGGCTGTAAACTAAAAACTGCATCGGGTTGCTATGAGTCCTACTTGCCTGGAAGCACACACCAACAACTACACAGCTCCTGAAGCACGTGGACATCTGTGGTTTGTAAAATAAAGATTCTTTTCTTCCACTGCCTTCCAACTTTCCCTCCTGCCCCTCACCCACAACTCCTCCACCTTCCCAGCCCCCTCCCCAAGGCCTGACTCCCCTCAGGCAGGAGGGGAGAAGGGAGAGGAGGAGTAGACACACATAGACTAGCATGCACACCTAAATCAAAAAGGAGGGATGGACAGTGCTTTGCAATCATCTTGCTGGTTCAAAGACTTCCTAACCCAAATCTAACCAGTTCCCTGAACGCCACTATAGAAATGAAAGACTGGTGGCCAATCTACCGACTAAAATGTGTGCTTTGTGGGAGTGAGAAAAAGAGAAGCTGATACCAAGGACTCGATCAGAAAATAAATGTTCGCAAAATAATGATGACAACATATATACAAATATGCTTGATGCAACTGATGTATGGATTGTTATAAGAGCTGTAAGAGCCCCCAATAAAACGATCATTTTAAAAAGATTCGAAAAGTGCAGGTAGATTTTAGCATTTCAAAATGTCCTAGAAACAGGAAAAAATTTTTAATAAAAAATTTAAACCACCAAAAAGTGTGCTTTTCAGAGTCCTGTCCAGGCAGCTAACAAAGCCAAAGCACTCGGCATCCACGGACTCAGGAGTCAAAGGAGTGGGTGCTGCCAGGAAGACACAGAGGGCGGGGCAGCGTGGCTCTATGCCTGTTCTTCATGCCCCTCGTTGGCTGCCAAGCCGGGACTGCAGCCCGGCAAGCAAGGCTTCTCCCAGAAGCTAATCAACATGCGAGGTTCAGTCACGGATTTCCGCAAGCACGGCAACCCTGCCGCTTTGAGATCGGAGCCCAGCAGCTCCCCAGCACATTTCGAGAAGGCCTGGGCTTATCCTGAGAAGCCTGCTTCCTTCCGCTCCTACTTCCCGCCTTGCTCCTACACTCCCTTCACTCTACCACGCTGGCGGCTGGAGAGTCACGCCTCGGGTCCGCCCTGGAGTGAAGTGGGCAAGAACTGAAAGCAGAAAGGAGAGACAAACAGCAAAGCGTCCCTTAAAAACGTGCGATAAAAAGCGCACGTTTTGCATGAAAGGAAGAGCTGTGTTGGAGGATGAACTAGAAGGACGTTGATCAAGAACCTCACCTTGAGGGCACGTCGTGCTGCGGGGGGGGCGGGCGGGGGGAACGCAGTAAAAGCTACAGCGCGGCACCCAGACCCACGTATAACAACCAGTGCTGACCACGTGGGTGGAATTCTGAAGGAAATCTTCAGAACAAGATCAAGTTTGCAGAAACAGGGAGAAAAAGGCCTCTCACCTCTGGGAGTAGAGAAAAGATGCTGACACTCCAGAAAGGGGATGGAGGGAAAAGAAAATGCCCACGTGCGAGTGAGCTTCCAAAGGCAGGGCTGTCCTCTGCTTACCTCACGCACACCATGTCACCGCCAGAAAATGCCCGCAGAACAAGGCCACGCACTCAGCCATGAGAGGGGGACACAATCTGGAAGCCAGGCCATCAAGCCGAGGCACCCCAGAAGGGGGCATCCTGATGCCCCTGAAAATGGGGGGACTGGCAGTGATTTACAGGGGCATGTGACTCTACCCTGTAGAGTCGGATTTCTACCCTGTTTTCTGCTTGCTCCTATTCAGCAGTTTGTAAACATTCCTGAGCCCACCAGCTGAAACACCTCCCCGCCTCCCTGAGTACCAGTCTAGGAGTCTCACTGGCTCCCAGCAACTCTCTGAGACAGGGGGGCCTGTCCCTGCGGGTTTCTGAGACTGTGACTCCTGGGGGTAGAAGGGCCTGTCTTGCTCCCGCAGAGCTGCTGATGGTTTTGAACTGCCGGCCCTGCAGATCACAGCACCAGGGCTCCTTCTGTCAAGACCAGGGGTCAGCAAACTAAAGCCCACAGGCTAAAGAAGCTTTTATATTTTCAAATGGCTGGGAGAAAACCAATCAAAAGTAGAATGGAATTCCAAATTATGTAAAATTCAAGTTTCAATGTCCGCTTCCAGACACCCTTCATGCGTACCATTTCCATGCTGTCTATGGCTACTGTGACAGTGGCTGCACATGAGAGCACGTGGCCAACAAGGGTGGAAATGGTGCTGAGCAGACCTGTACAAAAAATCTGTTCACCCCTCACCTCCATACCAAGCAACTTACCGGTCTTCAGTTTGACGCCTTCTTGTCCCAGAGTGTTAACATGGACATTTTTTTTCTTTTTTAATGGGGAGGAGTGTCTCAAACGTAAAGCAGAACTTGGGGTTCCCTGGAAAGTCTGTGGACAGGAGGTGCACCAGGCCCGCCCCTGAGCCCTGGGAAGACTCACCAGTAGAAATGCTCTTCCACCATTTTGGTCACGGCTCTGGACACGGCTCTTTCCTGAGGGCCGAGGTTTTTGTTTAAGTTCACTCCAAGTTTCTCTTCCAAAAAGTCAATTATGAACTCTGTACCAGAAACTTTTTCATTGTTATATTCGATCCAAGGCATTTTCCCTTGAGCAGACAGTTTTCCACCAAAATAGTTCTAAGCAGATTGAATTGTAACAAGAGAAAAACAATGTTTTATTTATATTTCACCACATGGTTAACACAAACACACATTACAACCTTATGTTCGCAGTGACTGTACTTAACTAGTCCAGCACCTGAATTCAGCGCATGCCCGCTGAGAGACGAGGGAGCTGATGATGGGAGGACTAATGACCTCTCAGGAAGAGAGAGCACTTTGCTCCCAAAAGATTTTTCCTCTGGCTCGAGGTTATGGGAAAATATAGACCGTATTAAAGAATCTTGATAATAGCCAGTCTAGTTACTGTGTACAAACCATCTGAAAAATGAAATTAAACCATGACTTGTACTGATGAGGCTGTTAACCAAAGACCTCACTTTAAAAGTTCCATCTTTTCATCGGGCAGTGTAACATATGACAAAATAATAATAATAATATATGAATTATGAAGGGTTCATGGGGGTGGGACGGAGGGGGAAAATGAGCAGCCGATATTAAGGGCTCAAGTAGAAGGCAAATGTTTTGAGAATGATGATGGCAACAAATGTACATATGTGCTTGATACAATGGATGGATGGATGAATTGTGATAAGAATTGTACGAGCCCCCAAGAAAATATTTTTTTTTTAAAAAGAGTTGATTTGGCACTTGTAGTTAGGTTACAATGCAATACCTTATCATTTGATCTCTCTTTTGACTCATTTTTAAGTGTTTCAATTTATATTATTTTCTGCTTTCTTTTCGATTGAGGTTTTTCTTCCTGTTTTGTCATTGTTCTTGTTTATTTTGTTCTTTCTTTGGCTTCCTGATTGTGTTTCTTATGACTTTCTGTGTATGAAATCCAGGATAGGTAAATCTATAGACACCGCAGCTAGATGAATAACTACTTAGGTGAGAATGGGGAGAAATGAGGAGCAAACAACAGTAAGTAGGAGAAGAAAATGTCCTGAAGCTGATGATTGCATAACTCTTCTAAATATGACTGGTGATTAAGTTGTACGATATGTGAAGTACATGCCAATAAAACGATTAAAAAAAAGTTCCATCTTTTGCACTTGAATAATGCTTAATTTAAGACTATACTTTAAACAAGTGTTTCCAGAAACTGTAATATCTGTGTGTGAAATAAGTACCGTATATATCCAGATATCAGCCGAGGCACATAATTTTACCACAAAAACTGCATTAAAAATGTGCTGAAAAAATCAGCTTATACAGACTCAACTACCAAAACCACACTCAGGTCATCGAGTGGATGCAGACTCATAGCAACCTCCCAGAACGGGAAGGAGCTGCTCCTGTGGACTTCCGAGGCTGTGACTCCTTTGGGGGCTCTCAGCTTCCTCCCTCGGAGCAGCTGATGGTTCCCAGCTGCTGACCTTGCATTTAGCTCCCTGCTAAAAACACAAATTCCTCGGCCCAGGCCTCACCCTCTGGATCAGAATCCTATTTCTGATCAGATCCACCGTTGATCCATACACAGACTGCAAGTTTATAATGTTTCAGACGACCTTGATCCCACAAAGGGGTGGGTGGGGGGCTCATAAAATTTAAGAATAATTACAATTACAGAGCTGACATTTGCTGCCTACTATATAAATGAGCCTTGTGGGCACTTTTAGGCAAGCACTGGACTGCTAACCACAAAGTCAGTGGTTTAAACTCAGCCTCTCTGTAGGAGAAAGATGATACTGTATGCTCCTATTAAGGTTTACACCCTTAAAAAAACTATCTAGAGTCACTATGGGTCAGAAGTAACTCAATGACAGTGGGTAGATATAAAACAACAAAGGAGCCCTAGTGGTCTCTTGGGCCAGGCTGCAAACAGTAAGGTTGGTGGTTTGGTGGTTCAAACCCCCGAGCACATTTGTGGAATGAAGATGAGGCTCTTTGCTCCTGAAACAATTGACAGTCTCAGAAATCCTATATAAAGTAATCATAGTTTAAAAAGAAGAACCAAGGAGGAGGCCTAGCACTGCCTGACCTAAAAATTGCCACAGCGGTCAAAACAGCCTGGGACTGGTACAAGGAGAGACACATAGACCAACGGATCAGAAGAGAAAACCCAGACACAAATGCATCAGCCTACAGGCATCTAATCTTTAACAAAGGACCTAGAAATCTCCCATGGGAGAAAGACTGTCTCTTCAGCAAACGTTGTTGGACGAACTAGATTTCCATATGCAGAAAAATGAAACAAGAGCCATACTTCTCCCCATTCACAAAAACGAACTCAAGGTGGATGAATGGCCTAAATGTGAGCCCCCGAGCTCTCAGAATCATCAATGAGAAGCTGAAACTAACCTAAGGGCCCTATAGCAGGGCATACCTCGACTACCAAGTATAAAGGAGGAGGCACATTCAGCAGGAGACAAAACAGACGACTGGGACATGCTGAAATTACATCACTTGTGCACATCAAAGGCTTCATCAGGAAAGAAGGAAAAAAGATTTCATCGGGAGAGTGAAAAGAGAGCCCAGAGATTGGAAAATATTTTTACCAATGGCACATCAGACAAAGGGCTAATTCCCAAAATATACAGAACTCTACAATAGCTCAATAAGAAAATAACAGGAGACCCAATGAAAAAATGGGAAAAAGACATGAATAGACAGTTCACAAAAAATGCAGTACAAATAGCTAACAAATACATGGAAAAATGCTCACG